CTTCCGCGGTGGGGAGGCCTTCCGCGGTGGGGAGGCCTTCCGCGGTGGGGAGGCCTTCCGCGGTGGGGAGGCCTTCCGCAGGTGAGACACCACATGTCGTAGGTAGGGAGGCACCTATGCTGGTATCGGGGGGGGGGGGGCCTTCAGTATTGACATTTATTTCCGTGTAGCTAAATGAAAATTCTGCAGATTTTTGACATCGCACATAACCGTAATCGTATCAGTGTCGGTGAACACCAGACAGCAAGCATTAGTCCTCAGTCTGGAAAAGGTTTTTTTTTTTTTTTTTTGCATCCCTTGTTCTAGGTTTTCTGTTTTGTTACTATCTTGTGCTTGTGGATTCAAACAACAGTGGCTCTGGGATGTGTTTATTGTACAGAAACAGTGGGGGCAGGATTGATATCGCCCATTGACCATTCGCTTATTCCAAGATTGGCCAGATGGTGGTGCTAATGCTAAACTTCAGGCGGCATGTTCTGTGGGGGCCTAGACCTACACCAGTAAGCGCCAGTTAGGTCGTCAGCTTGAGTGTAAAGTACCTTAAATCATACATTGAAACTAGATAGCTTTAAAGTAGCACAGTGTTCTTTGTTGGTTGCATCACTGCTAATTAAGTTGCATCATTGTTAATAGCTACTAAATAAACATATTGCATACAAAATGACATTTTCAGTGTGGACAACCAATCAGTATGATTGTGTAATATTACCGGAACCAACTCACTGTTCTGCACATTTGTTGCATTTATACATAGCTACCTATTTGTTTTCTCTGTATTTATGATTGGTGTTTCAACCACAGCTGTAACGGAAAACCATAATGTACCGTGTACCAAGTGTGTAGAAGTGTGTTCGCTAGGTAGCTTGCTGAATATGGGTTACAGATGCAACGTATCACAAAACTCACGGGTCTGCTCATATCGTAGTACTTTAGTCGTGGATCGGGTCATTTTTGGATCAGTGCAAAAAACAGAAGTATAACTATTTATTACTCAAAGAACTTAAACACAAAGCAAGGATTGTAACATGCTCCGTCCACATGAACACAACTACTTTGTTTGTATCTTTTCACTGCAGCTCTGTATCGAATGGAAGTCCACATTCACCTTTATCTTTCTCTCTTATGTCTAGATCACAACTTATTTCTCGTGATCTTTACGAATTGTTTTCTCAATCACAAAATAAGTCATTTTAGAAAAACACAAGTTGTAAATAGACGCGCGAACAGGATTCCACTAAAATGCCATGGGTAATGCTACTGAATTCATGCAGTTTTTTTTTTTATTGCATTCACCCCGAAAATCTAAAATTCCTATGAGGTACACTTAAGGGGGGGGGGGATTCTCCCATGTTCAATTGTAACTTAAAAAGTGACAGCAGCTCTATCATGGTTAAACTTTGCAGTTAATCTGGGGTTCATACCAAACCGTGGTGGGGGGGGGGGGGCAAGGAGATCTGTGCTGATCATGGATCAGTTTGACTGTTACACCACTGATGCTTATCAAATTAGTGCTAATTTTGTAGTGGCAAAGTTAGACATTTATTGTTGGTGCTTGACCGTTTTTCTGCTACATGAATACAGGAATACAAACTGTTCACTCAGAACAACGGCAGGGCAACTAATTTTTCTATCTTGCCAGCTAATGTTAGCTGACTAGACTAAGGTTGACATGTCAGTGAGCTTGTTTTATGAACCAATGGAAAAATGATTATTGAAATTACTACTACATGTTAAAAACAAAGTCTTGTTAGAGTGAAAATGGCACATATGTAACTAACTCTGTGTTTTGCTGGACCTTATACCTAACAATAAGGAGGAGTAAAATTAGTGAAATCTTAGTGTTATGTAAGTGTTTTTTTAGTAGTTGATAAACCTGGACATAGTGTGTGTGTGTGTGTGTGTGTGTGTGTGTGTGTGTGTGTGTGTGTGTACGTACGTACAGAACACAGATCCAGTGAAATGACTGACAGCATTGTGCAGTAATAAGCCAGTGTTATTTGGTCAGTTAATGTATTAAGACTGATGCAGTGTTTTACTTATTTGCCTCAAGCTGTTAGTAACTTATTTTGAGTTTTTCATTTTGAATTTTCTGAAATATGTTATTCTAGGGTTTAGTGCACATCTTAAATTCAGCTGTGATGTTGCTGTAATTATGTTTTTGGAATCAGTATTTTAATGCTCTGCAGTTTTATATTGTTGTAACTTACCTGATAAATTGTTTTTCACTTAAGGTGTCTCCCCTTTGTGTGCAGAAATCACACATTTTAATAACCTGGCATGTTTCTTGTGTTGGGTGTATGTAGCCTAGTTACTGAACACAGTAGTATGTGCTGGGAACACCGTTTATTCTCCCGTAGGCCGTGGGGCTCTGAAGGGGAAGACAGGACGTGGGGGGCGGCAGAAGAATCGTGGCATCGGCAACCATGGGGGCGGACAGAGCAACCTGCCGAACAGCCAGGCCAGCCAAGACGTGGTGTCCCAGCCCTTCTCTCAGGGGCCGCTCACCCAGGGCTACGTCTCCATGAGCCAGCCGTCGCAGATGAGCCAGCCGGGCCTGTCTCAGCCTGAGCTGTCACAAGTAAGGCCCCGCCCCAAGCGGCACAGCGTTTCTCATGGTTGTCATGTGCACACGGTGAATAGCAGTATCTGCAAACTGCATCCTTAATGTTGGATGTTTCATAGGAGATGCTTTAATCAGTCAAAATCCCACATCAGAGAATAATTATAGATTCCTTAAATAATCATCTTCAGTACAGGTTAGGTTTTATTTGTAGTGTGGTCCCTGGCATATTGTAGATCGATGCCACATAGTCTACTGCTTGTGCTTGCAAAGAACATTTACCTTACAGATGTAACAATTTAGAATTTCCATCATAGGCCTTACAAAGAGGTGTTTGAAACGCGTTGGATTCTTTCCCCCAAATCAGGACAGTTACCTCGGTGATGAATTCAAGTCCCAGATTGACGTGGCTTTGTCCCAAGACTCCACTTACCAGGGCGAGCGTGCATATCAACATGGCGGGGTGACTGGATTGTCACAGTACTAGAATGTAAGGATGTTTTTCTTGAACATTCATGGATGGTACTTAATGGTATAGAATGTGGGTATATGTAACTCCTTTGTCCTTTCAGGTTGTGGGATAAGGAGCTAGGCTTGAGCTGAGCTTAGTTCGTCAGAATTTTAATCTGGGTAATAATAAAAAAACAAAAAACGGATACCTGTTTTCCACTGCTACAACTGAAGCACCACTGTGTGAAAGCAACAGGAGAGGGAAACCAACCAATCACAAGAGGAATAGGAAAAGGGGCAGACAGACAGGACGAGGAGGAAGAGAGAGAGAGAGAGCGAGCACTGCCAGTACACTGAGACGGGCGCCAGGAGGGAGGAGGACGCAAGCGGTGTGTGGTCGTGCTGTCGGGGAACACGAATCAAAAATGAGGCAGCTCCCTACGAAAGAAGCCCATTCCCTCCAAAACCCTTCCACCACTTCCTGCTCAAGGAATGACCTGTTGACTGAGGACCTTGATCTTCAAGCAGAAAGGGGGAAAAGACAAGTTCTCAAGCAACTCGCGAGCTCATTCCGTTTTCTCCAGAAACGGAGAAAAGAGTGGCGAACCGCTTCACGCAGGCAATGTGGAAAATCTTTACCTCAAAGTTGATCTCAGTTTTTAACCTTTGAACCCATTTGATTTAAATTTTTGTGGAATAAGAGTGGTGGTGATACAGCAGCTCTTAGGCCCAAATCGCATCAAATGATGAAGGCGGTTACTCGAGAGTATGAATTGATCTTAATCCAACTTTGAGTTCTTGCGTTAAGCTTGAATTGAAGAAATTCCGAGTCCACTTGCCTTTGACTACCTTAGAGTTCAGTGGCAGGTACACCGGGTCCTACCTGAAGTGGTATAGTAAAGGTCTATGGTGGTGTGGTCATGGGATTTTAAGGCAAAGTTTATGGATCTGAGCTAAGGATCTGCAACGTAAGATGAGTCTTCTGAAGCAGCTTTCTTCTTGTAGAACCCGGGCAGAATAATGAAAAGGCCAGCGTTTCTGGGTGTGAACTTGGTGCAATTTCCAAGTTGCAGCAATAGTGTATTGATCTTTAATGAAGGAGGGAGGAGTAGGGAAATGAGGTCTGGAGCTACAGAGGGTTTTCAGTGTTTTAAATGCAGCCTATGCTTAGATTGGCTACTGTTCCAAAGAGGGGGTTTTACTTGGAGGAAAACTGCATCGCCTTTGGCTGGTTGAGTTCGCTGCTAAAAGCAACTCCCTGGACAATGAGTCACACTTCAAGTCACCGTAACTGGGAATGCATCGTCTGGAAATATCTCAAATGTGTAAAAAAAAAAAAAAAGGAATTTAAACTCCAGTGAAGCTTTCTTTTATTTACAAATTAGATGCTCTGGATATCTTTCATCATGCGAGGGTAGAAACTGCTCATTTTACTCGTTAAACATCAGAGCTTATAAAGTGCATAACTTCAGTTGAGTGTTAAATGCACTGTTTCACTGTCTAAGTTTTCTCCTGCCACATATAGAAAGACTTGTACCTCTTGATTTAATTTTTACGAGATCTTGAAGGAAGGTGTGCGAGATCCGTCAGCGTAAGAGACGTGAGTCGCTGCGTCTTGCCGCTTCAGGCGTGCTGTGATGGGCACCATAAACTCCTCTGTGAATGTAGGCGAGACGGACATGCTGGGTCACGCCGGCCGCGGAAGGGTGCGGCCGCACCAGCAGGCCCGAACAGCACTTGAGTCCCGAGAAACACCAGTCACAAGAAGGCCACTTTTCTATCAGGGCTTGCCAAGACTAATGACTGGCCGAAGGCCTTATTTCTGAACTTTTACTTTTTGTGTTGGTTTTATTTTGGCTTTTCTGTCATTTCTAGGCAAAGGTTTTCCTAATGTAGATGTCTGTAGATGTGACCCCCCCCCCCCCCTGCCTTCCCATCTGTGAATTGTGATGTATCGTAACATCCCTAAAATGCTCTTCTCTGATTGGAACTATTTGCTTCTTGTTTGTGCCATTTTC